CAGTACTGCTGTGCCTTCCAAGACTGACCCGTCATGAGTGATCAGCTAGCACTTCCCCCTCCATCAGGCTGGCCATTGTCACCTTGGGGTTTTTACTTTCCTATCCAGCGGCAATACTTACAGGGGGACATGGCATCCCAGAGTCTCTCTAGTCCTGGTTTTTACAAAAATAAGAAGAGACAGGACCACAAGCGGAGGGCCCTGGGGCCTGGACCCTCTCACACTCTGTGTGGCCCCCAGGCCCATTTGCTGTGTTGATAGCAGCCTGACCCTGGGCTTAGCAGGGAGGGGTTCTGTCCAACCCCTGTTGGACAGCCCAAAGCCAGGGATCCGTTCATAGTTTTTTGTTGGTTTTTTTTTTTTTTTTGACAACTAAGCATTTCTCTCTGTACAGACCCAATAAAACCTCCTGTGATTTGCACCTGGCATTTCTATGCTGGTTTCATGGAAACACCTTTCTAGAATCTAACAGCACCCCTGGCCACCGCCCCCAGATGTGTCTCTCCAATTCCTCTACTAGTGCGGCATTCTTGGGGGCTGGGCTCGCCCTCTTTGACTGGCACAGAGTGTCAGGGGCCTGGAGCAGCGGGTGGGCACCGAGGCCCTAATAGCAGGAGCAGTCCCTGCCCTGGTGATGGCTTAGGGGCCGAAAGCCTTCGTAAGGTTGGTTCAGGAGGCCGACAAGGGCAGGGCAGTTTGGAGCCAGGGCGGCGGGACCGGTTGTGCCCCGTGACCATGCCCCTGGCCCGGGTTGGGGTTTGGAAGCCGCTTCCTGGGTCTGCGGTGCGAGGTCGCCACCTGGTGTCCGGAAGGGGTATTAGGGTCACCAGCCACATCTAGGACTGTGGGAACCCGAGACCCGACAGACAGGCGGCCCCCAAACCGCTACCGCCCGGACCCCCGCCCCCACCTTCGCTCTGGAGACCCGGCTGGGTCGGGTGGGGGAACCCGGCCGCGCTCTCCCCGCGATCTGATCTGTATGGGTTTTTAGCACACGAGCAAGGCAGCCAATAAGAGTTTTATACAAAGTTGGTATTTGTAGTTCAAAGAGATGCGCTTAAGTGGACCGCGTGGGATAAATGAGAACCCATTTCTCAGGTTCGCACTGTCTTTATTCTGCATTTCAAACTGGTGTGAGGAGGTGTCAAAGTCTCTTCCTGGGCACAGCCCGAGAACCCCCACCCCCAGGATACCCCTCGCGTGCTGGGGCCCCCCGAAACAGGTGCCTAGCCCTCCGAGGACTGTCGAAGGACGTGGGCTTCTAGACGGGGACTCTGCGGAGCCGGGGTCTTTGCCGAGTGGGAAAGGGGACACTCCCACGGGAGGAGCCCGGCTTCCTTCCAGCCCCCCTCACACAGGCGCTACAGTGCGCTGGTCCCCCTGGAGCCGCGCGGGCGGGGCGTCGGGTGGGCGGGGAGGTGGGAGGAGCATCTCGAGGCGCGAGGCGGAGCTCGGAGTGGGCTGCGGGGCGGCTGCGGGCGGCTCCGGGCTGTGCTGCTCACCCGCGCGGCCCTGGGAACGCGCGCCCGCGGCGGGGGTGCCGCGCTGCGTGCCGAGGGGGTGGGGATCCGTGGAAGAAGAGAAGGCTCAGGGTGGGGGTCGCTGGGGCCCCTCGCCCTCGGGGCGGGCCCGGCGTGCTTTGCGCCGGTGGGAACCGGGCGTCCCCAGCCGGC